CTCTCTTTTTAAAGGAAAAGTGGGCCCCCCCCCCCCCCCCCCCCCCCCCTTCCCCGCGGGCAGGTCACCCTCGTCGAGATGGACACCGACCTCTGCGCCATCGTCGCCGGCCTGCGCGGCGCGCTGCCGCAGAACGGCCACCTCGTCGACAGCGACTTCTCGATGAAGGCGTGTGTGATGCAAAACTACGAGGAGCAGATCACCTGCGCGTGGGACACGGTGCGATGCGCCGCACCTCCGCCGCACCTCCGCCAGAGATGCGCCGAGCGGAGCCCCTTGCGTGCTGGACAGGCTGCCCCGCCCGTGCCACACCGCGACAGCGAGGACTCTGCGCCGCGCTCGCCCCGCGACACGCGCCCGCGCGCGCTCCGCCTCCCGCAGGTCAGCTGCATCATGTCCAACAAGGCCTTCGCCAAGCACAAGATCCCGTACACGGCCATCGAGGGCGGGGTGGTGCCGACGCTCGCACACAAGTTCTTCGAGACGGACCTGCCCTTCGGGCTGTGCACGATGAAGGACATCGCAAACATGGTGGGCGTCGCGGTGCCGTGCATCGACAAGATGATCCTGTGGAACCAGAAGCTGATCGGCAAGGAGTACCTCACCGCCTCGGGCAAGATCGACGGCAAGCACGCCTCCGAGTGCGTGCTGCCCTCTGCCTTCGGCCTCGACGCAAAGACGCTCGAGTTTGGCAACCGCAGCCGGACCGCCAACGGGGCGGAGAAGAAGCAGAAGACATGATCCCGGAGGGTCGGGCGGGGGGAGGAGAGGGAGGCAGGCCGGTCGGTGTACGTGATGGCCGGACGGCTCTCGGCCGGGGAGCGGAGACGGCCGCGTCGTTGGTCGTGTCCCGGTGACGGCGGGCTAGTGTCAACTGTCAAACGTCGATGGTTATTGGTATTTATGTCCGGCGTTTTTTTATTTTCTGAGGCGGACTGTGAGGGGCGGCGCGCGGCGGAGAGCGCAGCGGGGCTGGATCGGGGCGGTCGGGTCGGCGGGGTTGGGGCGGGGTTTGCCGTCGGCACGCCTCGGGCTCGGCACGTGGCGGCCAGC